GGAGTTTGGTCCCATCAGGCTAACGTGACCGTCACGACTCATGCAGCTGTAAGGTTTTCTTTCTCTTTTGTTTTACTTGCGATCTTTACAACACGCATCACATTATGTATTTCATGGCACACTCGTTTTATGCGGTTTTGGTGCCACCTATTATTGTGTGTGTATTATTGACATGTCAAAGTCTAGACCCTGAATATAAGACGACCGCGTTTTTTCAGATGTATTTCCAATAAAAAAACATCGTCTTATATTCGGGACAATTAATTTGTGTTCTGAAAATGAACCACTCTTGAGAGTGAGTAAATGATGACAAATTATTTTTTTTTTGTCTTAACTAATGTTTAAAAAGTTTTTACACATCAAATTATCTAATGAATTCTTTCTTTTATGTAAAGGTTCATTGTGAGGATCAACCCCGACAACAGCAAGTGCTCCTCAAAGTTTCAAGTCAGCAGAAGAAGTGGGAAGATGGTGCAAAGGAAGAACTCTGGCCTAAACCCTCATGTATCCTCCTTCATTAAGGACTTTCTGGATTTCAGCTGGCAAAACTATTAAGCTGCTAAGAGCAAATACATTCTGCTCAGGAGACTTGTTTGACTTTGTAAGTTTTTTGTAAGATTGCTCGGATGACTGAATTTGTTCATTGTTTTTAAAATACTATAATATGAAACCCTTGCCTATAAATGATACTGCAGGTTTGGGAAAAAAAAAACAGTTGCTACTGTTGCTGAGCAAATACATTCTACTCAGGAGAGTTTTTTGAATTTGTAAAGTTAAGATTGTTCTTATGACTGAATTTCTTTATGAGTTGATTTACAGTGCCATAATATGAAACATATGTATAAATGTTACTGCAGGTTTGAGAAAAACAGTTTGTGAAGAAAACTGAAAGTTCAATCTGCAAGATTAAAATGTTATTTCAAGAACAATTGAACAATTAAAAACAAAGTTAAAAAAGCTACAACGTTGTCATTGCTTATTTTTATTATTTACTGAGACCTGTTGTAATACAGTCATTTGCAATTTGTACAGTTTTTCAGTAACTAGAAAAAATTGACAATAAATTACAGGACATTTTAGTGTATTTTTTTAATAGCATTAACAAATATTACTGTATAAAAGCCAATAAAATTATTGTATATTTTACAGTAAAAATATACTGAACTGTAAATACATTTACAGCAAGTTAAATTGTACTGTAAATAATAATACAGTATTTTTACTGTAAATTTAATTTACAGTAAGTTACTGGCGAACTGCTGCCAGTAAGTTACTGTAATTTCTACAGGAAATTTTTAACAGTGTATTTATTGAACCTTGGGCTAACTGTATTGTTGCATTCCTACTGTTTACTCTAAAATACTGTATAACAGGAATATCACAAACTGAGTGCAGACTCTGAGTACTAACCTATGAAAAATATTTAACATGAAGTCTAGCATTTTGCACATTGTGCAATTACGATTTTGACATTAGCCATCAAGGAGCTTCAAGTAATGTAGGAATAGGCTATATGACCCCCGGTATCACCCCATATCAACACACTGATGTACTCAATTTCCAAAGGTTGGCAGGTCTGTTACGGCCATACGAGGGCTCAAATGGTCATGGCTAAATGTTTTTTCCTGATGCCATCGCACACTCCCAAACCTAACTTGACAGGACATTGCCATACTAGAGGCTGTCAAAGATGGCTTGAAGCTTGTCGCAGAATTTACTGATATTTTATCAGCTGAAAATTACGTGACAGTCTCATCTCTGCTGCCGATGCTGCATCTTATGACGGATATCCTGAAGGAGGAGATGGCTGATGTAAAGATGATGGCAGAAATTAAAAAGGGGATCTTAGAGAAACTTAAATCGAAATATGACGACAACACACTTCAGTTGCTGCGAAAAGGCACCCTCCTTGACTCAACTTGAACCCTGAACAACTTGGTGTGATCAAAAGTCAGCTAGAGGTTGAGATGGTGGCATTCTGGAAAGATAAAATCAAGCCACCTGTACGCATCAGAGCGGAGGAGGAGGGGGAGGAGGGGAGGAGGAGGAAGAGAAAGAAGTAGCACGTGCAGCAGCTCAGATACAGCCGGCTGAAAAGACCAAAACTCTGGGACGTCTTCTGGGCAGAGTGGAGCAGTCTATGTCCACAATCCCCGCAGACCAGCAAGCAAAATCGGAGATCACATCCTACTTGCAAGAGGAAGATATTGATGGCGATGACAATCCACTGGAATGGTGAGGAAAAAAAAGGAAGCTGCTATCCTTTAACAGCAAACATGGCTAAAAATACCTGCGGATTACTGCAACCAGCACTCCATCAGAGCGCGTGCTCAGTGCAGTGGGCAACATAGTTACTCCCCACTGCAACCTCCTCAAACTAGACAGAGTAAACCAGCTTGTTTTTTTAGCTAAAAATCTGTAGACATAAATACCTGAATGGTATAACAAAAATTACCTTAATTGTTTCGGGCCTTGTGTTTGTTTTAGTAATAAGTTCATTCGAGAACATTTGAGGTGGTAATTTAACTATTTTGATCCTTCATTTTAGTTGTAGTTCTTTCATTGTCGTTTTTTTTATTTATCAAAGCCTATTTTGTTATTTATTATATTTAGGTTACCATCAACCTGTCTCACAGCCTGTCTATTTTAATGGACATAATTTATTTTTGGGCCGGGGCTAAGACAATACAACAATTACAATATTTATAGGCTACATTGTCTGCTGAAATTAAAGTATTTCACTGCACTTTAACAATAAATCTAAATTGAATGGCTTACTATGTGCAATATTTTGTGTTAACTCGTTCTTAAGAAGTTTTCGTTGTCATTGTTTGAAATAAAGCTGCTTTTAATTTTAATTGTTGACTGATTGTTGTGTGTTTGGACCTATTAGACTGTTATTATAGTTTATCATTTTAATTATATAATAACAGTAATAGCAATTTGTTATTGTATTATTATTAGTATCAATAAAATTGTATGTTTATGTGCTACGCAAAGAAAATGAAATGCTATCACATATGACGTTTCCGTTTTCGCCTTGGCTCATATCATGACTCATATATCACTTTGCAATGTAATTTTGAAATTACATTGTAGTCTTTTAAAAACATGTTCACTGAGTAATTCTCATTTTAAAACTCAAATGCGCGTGGTGTTGCAAGTGTCGGTTAGGCTGTGCGGTGATGTTAACGTGAACAATAGGTTATAGCTGGGCAAATTAATTGTAATTCATTTATTATTAATAATAATAATAATTTAATAATAAAAATAATATATTTAATACATTCATGGGAAACAAGCCAAATATCGTCTTGAAATCGCCAAAGGCCTCAGCTTTCGGCGATATCTCTGCCTGTCATCGATACGCGATACTATCATCTATCCCTAGTGTAGAAGCAACTCAGCAACGATAAGAGAAATGGGAGGCACCTGAGCTAAACTTCAAATGTTGTTGCAATACTTATGAATACTTACGTGCATGTAATATTTCAGTTTCTTTTTAATTTAATTAAATTTAAATTTTTCAATTCTTTTTAATACATTTATAGACATTTCTAAAATTTTGTTTTCACTTTGTCATTATGGGGTATTGAGTGTAGATTAATGAGAAAAAATGAATTTAAATGATTGTAGTATCAGACTGCAACATAACAAAATTGAAAAAAAAGTGAAGGGGGTCTGAATACTTTCTGAATTCACAGTATTTACTTTCTTAAAATTATTTGCAGCCAAAAAAAAAAAAGCCAATCCAAAAATGAATTCCTCTACTGTATTGAATTGTAAGAGTAAACTGGTTTGTGTTTAACAGTTAGTTAGTTCAATAGTGTAATAGCTGGTTTAATAGTTTATGCTCAAGTCTATCTGTTACTCACCCAGTTGCTCCAGTACTACAGTTGCATTGGCTGAGAGTCCTCCAGCAAACACCTCACACATGTAAACTCCTTTATCCTCAGTTCTGATGCTCTTCAGTCTGAGAGAGAAGTTTCCTTTGGGGATTTCAGCAGTGAAGAACTCAACTCTGTCTCTGTATCGCACATTTGCTGAATCCGATAAAGTCTCATTGTTTTGGTAGAGCAGAACCAGAGTATCTTCATCTTCATCTGTTTTCTTCCATGAAACCTCTTCAAAGTCTTCAGGTGGGATGTGAGAGTCTACAGAGCAGCTCAGAGTGACGTCTTCACCCACAGACGCAGATATGGAGCGACTCGATCCTGATACTCTCAAACACTCTGAACGAATGAAATAAACAGTGAATTTTACGTCTAATATTACTTTTTTAATCATAAAAACCGATGGGAGGAACTCGTGTAATCCAGACTTACCAACATCTTTTATTTGAACCACATGTTCTCCAGAATCCTGCTGACTGTGAACTTTACATTTATACTGTCCCTCATCTTCAGCTCTCAGATTGTCCAGACGGAGGGAGAAGTTTCCACGTTGAATCTCTTCAGTAAAGAAATTAGCTCTATCCTGATAATCCTGGTGCTGAGATTCTGCTCGACTCTCACCGTCCTGATACAGATGAACTAAAGTCTCAGAGTCTGTTCTTCTCCATTCCACCTCCAGACCCTCCACTGATAAAAGTTCATCAACAGAACAGGGCAAAACCACTGAGGATCCCAGAGGAGCAACCAGAGGACCAGAGGGACCTTTTACAATCAACCCTGAAATATGAATAAACAATATTCATTAAATAATAAACACTAGGATGCTCAGCATGTAACAACTATAAATACAGAAATAAACTCTTTCTGCTCTGTAGAAATTTGCTGTACAAATTCATTTGTATAAAGAGTTGTGTATTATTGGTGCACATAAACTGTTAATTTTACCTTTGATTGAAAATCTAAAAGATTGAAAACCATTTCTCTAATACACTGGTTCCGGTAAAAAAAACAGGGTAAAGAATTAACTTTTAGTTTACTTTTCAATGAAAAGAATAGCAACACTTCCTGGTAGTGCTGACTCTGGCTACTATATAACTCGATTATATTTAGCACATGTAAATGTATTGTAATTTATGCATGATTGTTTTCATTTTTTTTTTTTTTTTTTTTTTTTTAAGATAATGAATTATAGTTAGTTAACCAAATATCAAAACGTAGCCAGAAAATGCATAGTGTCATTTTAATATCAACATCAGGTTCTGCACATTTAATCCTTCTCATGTCTAAAACAAATCTATTCAACTCGCCTATAATAATGCTTCAAATCACTTTAATCTGTTTGAAGAGCAGCTCGATTAGGCATCGGCTATTTACACTAAGTGAAAATAGCAGTATTTTCTCTGCAATAATAGTAGCCTAGTTAGATGCTATTTATACTACTTAGTGCAAATGCCAGATATCTGCACCTCGCTATTGCACAGCAAAGCAAAATTGGAAATTATTTAGGCTACTTGTACTTATGTGACTCTCACCCAAAAAAATAATCGCTTGTGAATTATCCCTCAATATATGCAAATAGCCTGTATCCACTATAATGTTCATACATATTCATCCGTATCGGACTACTTAGTGCACCTCCCTGCGTAAACAAAATACACCGTTAAGGCCATACGGAAAACAAATGTGCTTGTGTGGATGAGGTAGAAAAGGACAATGCTTAAATAATTCAGTCGGTTTACTAATTTAAGTTTAAACCTCGAACTCAATTTTGTTAGTTAAAAAAAATATATAGGCCTAGGCCTATTTATCGAGGTGCTAAACAAACGGCCTTGAATAGTTGTAAATCAGATCATGCTTACCATCAGCGATCATCAGTAATACTGACATCAGAACACAGTTCGGTAGGTGCATCTTCAAATGGGCGAAATCAAACAAAACGATCATGTCTTTCAACGATAAATGATGGCAGTAGCAGTTAACGGTGCATGAAAATTCGCCCCAAACGATCAGTTTCAATTTTACTTTCACTTTTGAATTTTACGTAAAGGATGGGAGTTGCTCGGAGGCGGAGGATTATTAATTTTAATTAACTCTGAACATATTATTAAAAACATTTAGCCTTAACCATGACAAATGTATAATCACAGTAAAACTAATCAATCAGAGAAAAATAAATAAATAAAACCAAGATCAATGGATTGCTGTTCACGGTGACCCAAAATATTTCTGCATAAAATGTCATTTAACCATAAAGAGACATCAGAAAATGAATTGTTTTGTACATTAACATTTGTATTGTACATTAATTATGATATATAATTTATTAATGTAAATTATTGTTAATATTAATGTTATTTTTACACATTGTGTGTGTGTGTGTGTGTGTGTGTACTTTAAAGGGATAGTTCACCCAAAAATAAAAATGCTGTCATTAATTACTCACCCTCATGTTAGTAGAGCAGGAAGAATAGGTTCCCATGCACCCGCTTGGCAGTTTTTTGTAACCTGTTTTTTGGGACCCTAATGGTGTCTAGTTAAACTAAAGTCCCATGGGGTTCATTTGGTGGCCATCTTGAAATTATGTCATTATAAGTGGTGAAAAACACAGATTTTCATAACTCCTGAACCATACAACAGACAACGACAAATGAACCCACTTTTTTATATAATTGTTTATATAATTCTGACACCAGGAATCAAATGGAAAGGTCAATGACATTATATACAACCACTCTTTACTGATTTACCTGAGGTAGGCTATGCTCCAAGTAAATGAGCCTACAACTATTAAGCATTTCTATAATATTTTTATTTTACCTTAAGAGTCCCTAAAATGTGTTGTTTAATAACTTTGTTTAATAACTTTGCCAAAATGTATATGTTGTGCCATAATAAAGTTTGTTATGGTGATTATTCTGTACCATTCCTAATCGTTTGCTCGGTCATTCAAAAAAGTTTTTTTAAAAACAAAGCGAAAACTGAATGTTTTTTTACACACATGAACTGGAATATAAACATACTTAATCTTTTTTTTTTAACCGAAAAACAGCCCTTGTGGGAAGAGTGCTCATATTGCCAATTTAACAGTACTAATAAAGTTTGTTATGGTGATTATTCTGTACCATTCCTAATCGTTTGCTCGGTCATTCAAAAAAGTTTTTTTAAAAACAAAGCGAAAACTGAATGTTTTTTTACACACATGAACTGGAATATAAACATACTTAATCTTTTTTTTTTTGCCCAAAATGATACATTTAGTGGACAAAATGCACTATATAATTAAAGACAAAAAAAAAGGGGGCAAGATTGTGAAAATTTATTTAAAGGGGTCATATGATGCTATTTTAAAGATCATTATTTTGTGTATTTGGTGTAACAGAATATGTTGACATGCTTTAATGTTCAAAAAACACATTATTTTTCAAATACTGGACATTATTGTAGGTCGAGGAATAGGACGGAACTGCCGTGGAGAGACAGGCCTATGAGTAGCGAGAGCCAATGAAGAGAGCCGACCAGAGTTCTAGGGAGGCAGGAGGGTAGAAAGGGGAGGGTGACAAAAACAGGAACGCCAGACCGGCTAGACTAGAAAAAATAAAAAAACTGATTTAGACAAACACAGCATGGACAGAGACGATCTAAGCTGCTGCACAACATATTACGGACTGACACAAGATAGCATCCAAGAGGGCCAGATAAAGGGAAGAATAATGAGGACAAAACGAGGTGCAGGTGAGAAGGGAGAATTAGCTAACAGGGATAACGAGAGGGGCGGGGTGAACACCAGGATGACAGCAGAGCACATGGCAAGCCGTCAAAACAAAAGGCCATGTGCTCCATGATAACAAACCCCAAGTAGACCCCACCGAAATCGTGACACCTTGGCTTGACTAGAAACATGACCAAGAAAACAAACTTCCCAACAGTAGTACAAGGAACAAAACTAGACAAAAGACAATGGCAACATGAGGGCTATTTATACACAAGACTAAATGACTAAACAAGGAACACCTGTGAACAATCAAGACAATGACCCAATCACAAAACAAAACTAAGAACCACATTACCAAATCAACCAATAAGAACAAGACACATGAACAAGACAACCAATAGCAGGATTACATAAGGGCAAGGGAAACACATGACAGGATCCATAACTATGAAAAAGACAAAATAAAAGAAATGAAAACATGAACGTAAACCAAAACCCAAAACCAACCGTGACGTAATAATAATAATAATAATAATAATATATTAATACCACGTTTAGGCATGTGCTATAGTAATTTTTTTACTATACTTTTTAATTTTAATTGTAATTAAAAAAAAAAAGTTTACTATACTATAGTACACAAGTATGGAGTCTCATACTGGGAATTTGTGCTCTGCATTTAACCCATCCAAGTACACACACACACACAGGGCAGTGGCACCCGGCAAGCAGTTTGGGGTTCAGTGCCTTGCTCAAGGGCCTCACCTCAGTCATGGTATTTAAAGGGGTCATATGATGCTTTTTTAAAGACCATTATTTTGTGTATTTGTTGTAACAGAATATGTTGACATGCTTTAATGTTCAAAAAACACATTATTTTTCAAATACTGGACATTATTGTAGGTCCTCTATGCTCCGCCTTTCTCAAACGCTTCATTGACTACAAAGTCCCTCCTTCCGACAAGCGCAGTCTGCTCTGATTGGCCAGCTGACCCAGTGCATTGTGATTGGCCGAACACCGCAAGCACTCGTCGGAAATGTAACGCCCCTTACCATAATCGTGAGCTTCATCTTTCAAAATAAATGTAAAGACAGTAAATAAAAGGGGAACAGAGTCCCGTGACAGACACAGTGATGAAGCTGGTACGTGTTTGCAGTACACAAGCCACGGGTGGCAGAGTCTTAACTTTGATAAAGAATATCTCTTTGGTTTTGAGACTTTAGTCTTTGCAACTTCAGGGATCTTATCTATTCACGAACAGCTTGTAACACTCCAAAGAGAAAGGAAAACTTGAAATCGCATCATATGACCCCTTTAATTTTAACAATGTTTTACTTATATTCTGCAAACTTATGACAATTAAAATGTTTTATATTTTAATAACAAATGGCTAAACCATACAGTAATTTATATATTTTCATTTCAAAGATAAAAATAGATTCCTTTTGCTGAAAAAAGACAACAACTGATTCTGTGTTAAAGTGTTATTAACAGATGTGGTGAGGGCATTACATAAATGACATTTACAACACACCTGTATAAATATAAAATATATGGCCATGTTTAAAAAAAAAAAAAACAGGTGAAAGCTACACAAGTGTCTACTTTGTATAGGTGCCTACTGATCAACACAAGCCAAGCACACGTCATAGGATTTCTGTGGTAAGTAATATCTCTTATGGATCTAAAACCTGTTATAAATTCCTATATGAACAATAAATAGCAAATAGAGATTCATACACCACAAACAAACTCAATGAAAGCAGTCTAAATGTTGGGAGAAGAAACATACTTCCAAATCAATGGGACCAGATTGTTTATACCCATTGCAGAATAGGCCATTCAAGGATGACCCACATGTTTTTAATATTAGTAGAATATCCACCAACATGTTATTTTTGCAAAAACCCTTTATCCATGAAACATGTTTTATTAGGTCGTGCTTGGTTTTATTACTTTTGATTATCTTGATTCCAAAGATGTGGATTTCAGGAACAAAATGTAGTAAACTTTAAAACTGGTCAAATAATACAACATTTGTATTATATAGTATACGTGTTTTTTATATTTTGCATTTGATTTGTTTAACTATTACAGTGATAAAGTACACATTCTGTTGGTCATCATACACATAATCCACCATCCCCTGCATTGGATAAAAAAACAACAACAACAAAAGTTAATTCTGAGAACATTTACCCATGTCTTCATGTGTGTGTGCAATAGTGGCCTCTTATATAACATGAGAAAATTCAAGTCTCCCCCATTAGAAGTGCTTCTGCAAACTAGAAAAAAAAATAAATTAATTAAATAAAACTGGCAAAAGTGCAAGTAGCAAACTCTGCTGATTTGTAACAGATAATTACAAACAAACAGCTTCTCCACATGAACTGCACTCTGGTTGTAGGGTTTCATGCACTTCCATGTGACACCTTTTTAAAGGAGTTTTTTTTTTTTTTTAAAGTTGTTTCTTCCTAAGAGTCTTTATATTGTTCCTTATTTCTCACCTTACAGTCTTACAATACAGTGAACAAGTTTTATTGTGCCACCATATATAGGCTACACACTTCAAATGACATACTTATCAAACGGCATACTTTTAATAGCAAAACAGAGGAATATAAGAAAATATTTAACAGCTGTTGGCCCATTTACTTGTAGCATATTCTAACGATAGGCTACCTCTGGCAAATCAGTGGTTGTAATCGTTGAATAAACATATAACAGAGGAAACAATTTATAACATTTTGTGCACAAACTAACAATTATATTCTAAGCTTGCTTACTTCGTTCAAACCTGAAACGTAATTAACTTGTTGAAAAGTTTTTGTGATCCGTTGAAAACGCACTTATCAGAATCAGAATCAGAATCAGAAGAGCTTTATTACCAAGTATGTTTACACACACAAGGAATTTGACTTGACGACAGGAGCTTCCAGTGTAGAAGAAAGTACAAACATAGTGCAGACATACATGATAGTGCAGACATACATAGGAACCGGAAAAATATTGTCTGGGATGTGCTGCTTAATGTTAAGGAGTTCGTCTCTGATAAAACTTATAGAAGAAGAATGACAAAACACAGAACAAACAAACAAAAACAATAGAAGAATCGCGGAGCTCAGCGTCCTTGCTGCCATTTGCGGCGCCATGCTGGTGGATATATTATATTATCAGAGTCACTTTAACACAAAACAGGAAACTCATGAATATTCATGTTTACTCCGCCCA